AGGAGAGGCTGAGGGAGCTGGGCCTGTTCAGCCTGGAGAAGAGAAGGCTGAGAGGGGACCTGAGCAGTGTCTAGAAGTACCTCAAGGGAGGCAGTGAGGAGGATGGGGCCGGCCTCTTTTCACTGGTGGCCACCCACAGAACTAGAGGAAATGGCCACAAACTGAAGTATCAAAAGTTCCACAGGAACTTAAGGAAAAATTTCTTGCCAGTGAGGGTGCCAGAGCACTGGAACAGGCTGCCCAGAAAGGTTGTGGAGTCTCCTTCTCTGGAGATCTTCAAACTCTGCTTTGACACAGTCCTGTGCCATGTGCTCTAGGTGACCCTGTGTGTGCAGGGAGTTGGACTAGATGATCTCTAGAGGTCCCTTCCAACCTTCACCATTCTGTGATTCTATGATTTGGGGCAAAGGGTGGAAAAGAGGGAGTTAGGTATCACTGCTGATACTTCAAACAAGTTATTATAAACAGTGAAACTTGTATTAAAATAATGTTTTAGGCTATGGCAACAGCTTAATGACATTTGATTTAATGCTTTCCTGGCCAGTGTTCCTTTGTCAGTAAAATAGGGGGGTGACATATGACCTCACATAGCCTTTTATCACCCTCCTACCACTTTCCCTGTGAGTTCATTGAAACACCAGCCAAGGTTACAGAGCCCTCCTCCTCTCTGCACATCTTGGCATCCTCATAAATCAGCAAGGCAAAAACAACCAAAAAACACACATTATGCCAAAAAGCATCTCCCAGGAGAAAGGTACTAAAAATTTAATAAAGCTAAATGCTACACTGTAACATCATGGGGAAAAAAAAAAAAAGCAACATTCTTTAGCTTTTAGTGTGCCTTTTTGGCTTTCTGTCAGCTGGCTTCTTATCTTCTGTTCCCAAATCCTGGACGGGGAGCCACTTCAGAGGGTTGCGGCGGTACATGGGCCATGGCGGGAGCGTTAGCTTGGAGAAAGGGATTGAAGTTGAAACAGTAAATCAAGACTACAGGCAAGTATTTTGTGCAGTCACTTCTCCACGGAAAGCACCGCTGTCCTGTATCAGTGCTCTCACTCTGACTTGAAGTGAACATTCAGTTGAAGTAGAGAAGCAATTCAGTGTTAGGTAGTAGTTTTAAACCACAGTATTATCTGAAATGTGACTAGCAGACGAGAAGAGGAAAAGAACACACCAGGCAAGCCCAGGAGCACTGCGTTCTGCAGGTCCCAACACAGCTACACCTCTCTCTTTACCAATCAATTACGTGCAAAGAGGTGCCTGGGCCTTCCTTAACTGAACTAGCATTTCAGGTTAAATAGCGCACATTTCTTCCGACTTCTTAAAAACAAACTTACCAGACATGATAAAGCAAAACCAGCCATAACTATATAGACCGTCCATCCAAACTGCTCAGTGATGTAGCCATAGATGAAACCAATAACCTTACAAAAAAAGAAAATCATTAAATATACCATAAAAAGCTATATATTACGGTCTTCTATGGTTAAGCTAGCTGGAGTGGGAGAGGTCAAAGAGTTGAGAAGAAAATCTGGGTTTTTTAAAGGCCAGATTTCATATGTCTTCCTAACACTGTTTTCAGCACTGCAGGCCAACGATGAAATTAAAACACAGAAAGAAGCAAAGTCCTTATTCCATTTCACCCCTCGACTCTGTCTAAAGCTTTAACTGATCCAGGTAAGCCAAACTATCCAAAAATCCCCTAGGCCCAAAACAAGCTTTATTTTTTGGTTATTACCTACAGTTTTAGCATACTCACTGCAGAGACGAGAATGATTCCTTGGAAAATCTGTTCCGCCAGCTTTTGGCCCTTGTAGTCCTGCGGAGAGACGCGTGGGTCACAAAGCACACGTGTAAATAACCCAATTGTTTATTCTCCCCTTTTTGAGCACCCACAACATAACGGCTTTATAACAGCTCCATCGCAGCCCTTCCCCGTGGTTTCTCGCCCCGTTAAGGGGCCGCCCGCGAGGGCTTCCCCTTTCCCGAAGGAGGCCCAGGGAGGCCTAGCGCCGCCACCGCCCCAACAAATCCATCAATACATTAATAAATCGATAAACGGAGGCCAGCGCTACCATCTGCGTGGGGATGGAGCGCAGCACGTCCAGCATGGCGGCGGCGGCGGCCCCGCGCCCGGGCGGCGGCGCACGGCGAGCGCTGAGGTGG